TGCATTGAAAGCTGGACACCTTAAATTCACCTTTCCTGCACCAAAGGGCCCAATCAAGCTTTTCAGCATGAGGTATCGTTAACAGTTTTGTTTTATTTATTTATTACATCAAGCATGTGTTAGATAACATATATAAGTATAAACATGATTTTGGATACATGAAATGGATACGAATGAAAAGGAATATTAGGACAGGGACTGTAGTCATGCTGGTGTGCTTATGCATGCCCCTTACAGACCTCTTAGGAATGGGCTGAGGTCAACAGTGGACAGTCTAAGGTTAAAGTTTTTGGGGGTTTGGGGAAGAAACCACAGAGTCAGGTAGTGCATTCCAGGCATTGACAACTCTGCTGTTGAAGTCATACTTTCTGCAATCGAGTTTGGGAGTGGTTTACCTTAAGTTTGTATCTATTGTGATCTCGTGTATTGTTGTGGTTGAACCTGAAGTAGTCATTGACAGGTAGGATGTTGTAGCAAATAATTTTATGTACTACGCTTAGGTCACACCGAAAGCGGCATAGTTCTAAATTGTCTAAGCCCAAAATTTCAAGTCTGGTAAACAACTTTTCCTTTTTGGTTGCTGATTTTTGTTCCTGCATAAAACATTGATGTGCAGTACAGGTTTTGTACAGAGATGTTGTCCAATATTTTTTTTTAGTGTTTTGTTACAAAATGTAGTTCCTGGGTGCAATTATGATATGCCAATCTAGTCATTGTCTTTCTCTACATTCAGAAATGAACTTAATCTGCAAATTGCTATAAAGGTGCCGTTTCTATCTTGCAAATAATATTTTTAAGCAGCCTGGATACCTTGGGCTGGGCATGTCAGTTTACAGTTTTTGTTTTCAGTCTTCCCTAGAAAGACCAGACTCAAAGACAATATCAGAATGTGAATTAACCTTCCGAGAGCAAGATTAAAGATTTGCACAAAATATTTTAATTGATGACCATCTATTCTTCATTTTAATTGCTAATTGGTTGAATCAGTAGAAAGAGAAAAGACCATTGATTTCCTTTTCCTTTTACAGCAATGTCTTGCATTTGGTCACCCCAACCCGAACAGAAGTGATCCCTCCACTGATTGAGAATAGAGTGTCACGACATTCTTGCTCTCCTTTCTTCACTGGCCTTAAATTCTGTACCAGAATAGAATATTCCAATGCTAGCTCTACAAATGCAGCACCTTATTATCCACTGACGGGAGAAACTCGGTAAGATAGCCCATTGGTCTTTCTCTGAATGAATCATCAACTCCTCTTTGATTCTTTGATATTTCAGGCCAACCCTTCACCAAAGATAGAAAGCTCGTGGGACTGTATAAAACATGAATACATTCAGGGGTGGGATTGAAAAATGTTAGCAACTGGTTCTCTGCCCGGTTGCTGGGTGGGTGTGGCCATGGTGGGGGTGGCCTACTCAGCCTCCTGCACCATGGCGCGGGGGGGACTTTTCGCCCTCCCCAAGCTCCGGAGATTTTCCTCAAGTCTCCAGGAGGGTGAAAACAGCCTCCCCTGGGCTCCAGAGGCCCTCCGGAGGCCGGAAATGGGCTTGTTTCTGGACTTCCAGTAGGCCCGTTTTTCAACGTCCCAGAACTTCCGCACAGACCCTGCACTTACCTGGCATGATGAACGGGCCATGTGGAGACTCCTGGGAGGGGTGGGCGGGGCCAGCAGGTCCTTCCAACTATGGCTTTAGTGAACTGGATGTAAAATTAACATCCAGTTTGCTCAAACCAGTGAGAACCAGCTGAGGGCCCTGTGCACAAGTAGCTTTTTATAGTCTGGAGAGTAGCCTAATGACCACCAGCTGAGTGCAATCACCTCCTGTAATTGCGTA